ATCTTCTGATCTTGAGTGCGATGAGAAGAAGTTGAACGAAGCTCAGAGAATCAAATTCTCAAACTCAAATTCTCAAACCCTAGAATTTGATCTCTCAATTTTATAAAAATAGCCTCTTTCTTCCTTGTTCTTATTGTTGTTCTTAATCTCCTCTTCAATCCCTCTTTAAATAGATATTGATTGAATTGGAAAGAGATTCTCTAATCAAAGTTCCAATAGAAGATCAAATTTGTCAACGAACGACTGAGATAGAATCCTGAAATCTGCCAAGACGCGTTCAAATCATCGATGGCTAAACCCAATCATCAACAGACCGTTGATGATCATCGATGGTTCCCTGTAGTCCATTGATTGTTTAAATTCTGATTTCTAGAATTTACAGATTGTTGATTATAGTTCATCGATGATTAAAGCGGCCATCGATGATTGATTGTAGTCTATCTATGGTTTGATTTCTCATTTTTGAAAAATATAGATTGTTGACATTAGTCCATCGATGACTTGCGCGACCATTGATGGTGTTTCGAGACCATCGATGGTTAACAGGTTGAAATAAACTATCATCTTGATTTTTGCATCGTTTGAGTCGCAAATTGTTCGTATTTGTTTATTCCGGAAATATATCATCTCACAAACTAATTAGTACCAAATGAGAGTTTATTCTTAATCAGACAAGATATATTGCACAAACATCGTTACACCCCGAACAGTGTTCTAACAAGCTTCTCATCTATGTCCCCTCCTTATAATAATAACTAGAGGATTCCACTTATAATCGACAAAGATACTGTAGGTATTCAATCCTGGGTGTTGTGGCTATGTGTTCTCCATGTAAATTGGGCTCCACAAACAACAATAACGGGATTTCTTCTGTTTGAGTTAGGTTGACAAAGATAAATTTTTGGTAGCATACTTTGGAGGATCAATAGAAAGGCGCTCCTGATGTTAAAATCTGGCTGCAAAATTACAGCGATGGATACTGGCATCCTCCAATTGTGGCTGATGAAGAGCCTGATGTGCCCATGTGGAATCCAGTGCTGTTCAAGCTTCCTTCTGAGGAGTTGCTCCTCTTCTACAAGATTGGGAATGATACTGAAAAGTGAACTGTCATTCTTAGATATTTTGCTGCTTTTGATAATTATAGGAATGTTCTTGTTATGTAACATTAAATATCTTTTGATAATCACAGATGGAGTGGGGCAATGAAGAGATCAGTGGATGGTGGTATTAATTGGTCGGAGAGGGAGCAACTTTGATAATCACATTTTATTACAATTTTATACCCTTATTATCTATTTTATATGAATAAATATACCACTAATAATTATTTTTATCTTTAATTGCAGGTTAATAAAGAATAAATCCTAAAAATCTCATCTCTCAACAAAGGCCCTTGAGTAAATGAAGAAATAAGAGAAATTCAAAAAGCCAAAGTGAAATATTTGATTTTAAAAGCCCAAATGTCCCATGGCAGCTCCTCCTATTTTTTTCTCAAGCTTGAAGGCCCAAAGCCCATCAACAAATGAGCTCTCATGGACCAAACTTAGATGTGAATTTGAAAAAATTATTGTGCACCAAAGCCCATCAACAAATGAGCTCTCATGGACCAAACTTAGATGTGAATTTGAAAAAATTATTGTGCATGGACCGGATTTACTTTGGACTGCTACAGTTGGATTTTAACTTGAATGGGCCGGTTGGATTTTCATATATTTGAAGCTTGAAGAGGACCGGACTTGGCTTGTATTTTTCACAAGAAAATCACTATTTTCAAAATCAATAGAAACCGGACCTGGGGGCTTGATTGTTGTGGGCCGGACATGCTGGTCTTAGCTTTGAATCACAAAACAATTTAAATGGGCCGGATTTCAAATACTTCTTGAGCTGCAGAATTTTCTTCAATTGAAGCATGAGTATGTTTTGGATTGGCTGCAAACATTAAGACCGGACTTGATTTCATTTTTAGTTTTGAAAATCAACTTCAATGGGCCGGACTCTGACATGGATGCAAAATCAGAAATTGGACCGGACTTGATTTCATTTTTAGTTTTGAAAATCAACTTCAATTGGGCTTGATTTCATTTTTATTAAAATCATATGGGCTTCCTATGTTGGGCTAGAGAAGAACAAAAAGCAAATTCAAAGGTGGAGATTGGGGTAGAGAGTGAGGGGTTAGAGGTGTGAAAATTTTGTAAACTCCTTTTGGAGAGGAGGGCTACTCTTAATTGAGAAGGCCTTCCAAAATTGTAACTTTAGTTGCAATTAATAATAATAATTTTTTCACCACTTTAAATATTTCTTCTCTTTGTTGGATGATGAAGATGGAGATGAAGAATTATTTAGAGGTTTGCATTTTCTTTCCTTTTTCTCTTTTATTTCCTTTTTATTGCTTATTAGTGTAGATTTATTTCTATGCTTGTAGTTTAGATTTTATTTTCTTGTTAAATAGCCAAGAGGCTAGAACCCTCTTGCCTTAGATTTATTTCATGCTTATAGAATAGATTTATTTTCTTGCATTTAATTCTTGCAATTTTATTTTGTAGTTTAGATTTTGCAATTTATTTTGTAGTTAGATTTTAATTTCTTATACTATTCACCTTGAGGCTAGAACCCTCTTGGGTTTAGTTTTTCTTTTTGTTTATTTTTATTTTGTTTGATTCGCCTTTAGGCTAGAACCCTCTAGGGAATCACCCTTTTCTAAGAAGTGGGTTCAATTGTAGATTACCCATATCTATAATTGAATCCACCATCTTTAATTTCTTGCATTTTCTTTTTGAATTTTATTTTCTTTATTCTTGATTTTTATTTTCCTTTTCCTTCTTGCCTTATTGATCATATTCATTCTTTGTCACATCCACTCTCACTTATATCTCGTGCCGATTTACACACTATCACTTCCACTCTCTCTATCTCTCCACAATCACATTCACTTATCACTCCTACTTGTCACACACACAACATAAGAACCGATTTTATATTTTCTCCTACAAAACACCTTCCTCGTGGGATCGATATCTTAAATACTATAACTTGACACGGTTGTGCATTTGCAACCTTTTTGGTACATGTTTATGCCGCATCAAGTTTTTGGCGCCGTTGCCGGGGAAGGTGCTTAAGTAGGTTTTAATTATTTTGGTTCTTTAACTTGTGTGTTTCTTGTGAAAGAACTACTTGAAGATTAAAGATCAAGAATTGGAGATTAAGAAATTAAAGATTTGCTTGAGGTAAGTCTTTTTCTTTATATTTTCAATTCCACACCTTTAGTTAGTTTCTCACAATTAGTGATAATTAGGTTCTAAAAAAAAGATTTTATTTCCGTTGACCATAATAAAATTCACCCTCCACTTTGACATTTACTAACAAGATAATAAATTCAAACAAATTTCCCCCTTCTCATTTGTTTGATTGTTAACCCTAATTAAAAAAAAAAGATTTTTTTTTTTTTTCTTCCATCCTTTTTAGTTGCTTTTAATTCATAGGGTTGCATTTCATATTGATAGTAGGAATTCACCAAGTGATTTGAGCATCTTGATTTGGCACACACTTAAAAATATATTTAAGGGCAAAACCCCATAACCAAGATAAGGTGAGGGATTTCATCACCCTTTCCTTAGCCCAAAAATCACTAATTCCTCACTTCACAAATCCAAGCCTAATAAAACTCATTAGACGTTGGCCCCTAAGGATTCGAGCTCAATAAGGAACAAGAAATCCTTAAGTGAACCGGTTTAAGTTTTCTCAGATTAGTTTGTGTCTAAGGCAAGGTTTAGGGGTTGCGTAAAGCGCTCCGCAAGGAAAGAGGTACTTAATTGATCTTTGATCACCCTCTAGTACTATCCTTACCTGGCTAACTACCCGGGTAAAACTTTTATCTTTTCACTTAAGGAATTTTTGGTTAGGAGCTAGTCTAGTTGAGTTAGGCTTAACCCTAGAGTTAGAGTGATTGAAAAGTGATTGATTTTGATTTGTTTTAGTTAGGATTTTCCATTTTCTTCTTTAAAAAAAACAACTTTTATTTTTTCAAAAAAAAATTATATAAAAAGAAATTGTTTTTGGTGCATGCAAAACGTGGATTAGGGACAATACACATCAACAAATTCATTTTGAACAAATGGCTAATCCACAAGTTTTTCAAAATTTATGTTATCCCAATAGGATTGAAATCTCCAATGAAGCTCGGGAGTTTGTAGAGAGTCCATCTCAGTATTCGGTGAATGATCCATTTTTTTTAACCTACAACCCAGGTTGGGCAAGTTACACAAACATTGCATGGAATCAGGAAAACCACTCCGAAACTCAAAACTTCACTCTCATCCACAATTTCAACAACCCAGTCTGTCACATCAAAATCAGTCTCCTCATCATCAAGTTGTAACTCACACTCCTCTTGATACAGATCATGATGAACGTCTCAATATTTTGGAAAAAGGTTTTGAAATCATAATTAAGGCCTCCACACTAGCTATGGATATGTTTCTCAAACATCCTACACGATGAACTCCTTTATGCAATCAACCGAACCCATACTTAACTCTAACACTCAAGCTATAGCTAGATTAGAAACCCACATTGATCAACTAGCTAGTGCCATAAGTGAAGAAGAGGAAGGAGAAATTTTGAGTCAACCCGTGGTCAATCCTAAGGACACTAAAATGAATGCACTACAGTCAGGAAAACAGGTTGATAATCAGGAAAGAACACCTTTAAGCCAAATTCTTGTCCCAATTCATTCTTCCCCTGATAATTCAATTCAGGAAAGACCGGGGGAAGAAGAAGAAGAGACAGATCTAAGTTTTGAGGAAAATTTCGGTGAGGAGCTAAAAATATTAGGAGAAGCAGATCGGGTTTGTCAAAATAAAAAAACTGAACTGAATTTTAAAAAACTCTTTCTTGATGAACTAAGATTTTTGAAAAATAAACAACAACCAAATTTTTACACATCAACCATGAATCCTGGGGTTGAGAAAATTGTTAAAGAAAAATTGGTTGTTAGAGAACACACATTCACAAATCAAGAATCTGAGTCCAATATGCATGACACAAATAATACCTACCTTCTATTGCCACAAAAATCATTGAACACCCCGGAATGCTTAGAATTTCAGCACATTATTGATTATATCATTCTGAATTTGTTTAAAATCCGGGGAAGAATTTTCAACAGTAAGGTATGATTCAATGTAGAACAGGAACTCTTCATGTTGAATATTTCATTCTACATTGTTTATTTTGTTTACTTCAGAATAATAAAAAGAATTTATTCTTCTCTCATTTGAGAGTTTCTTGTTCAGTTGTTAAAAAAAAGAAAAAAAAGAAAAAAAGAAAAAAAAAGAAAAATTTTTTTCCATCCTCCTCAGACCAAAGGTAATTGCAGATTTTTATCAGCCGACCAAATGTAAGTACTTCACTTCTTATCTGTTTTACTTTATGCATCATAGAGTTTGCATTGAGGACAATGCAAAATTTAGGTGTGGGGGTGGGAATTAGTTATTTTTTCTCTTTATTTTACATTTTTAGTTACATTCCCCCCCCCACCTTTTTCTTAAAAAAAAAAATTATAAAAATATCGTCACTTGCCAAATTGATAGAGTTATGTAATAATTGAATTATTTGATAAATTTGAAATTTTCTAATCCCTAGTTGGTTATTTACTTAAGTTCATCTTTTATGATAACTCTAAATAAATTTCTTAAGAAATGATTTTCAAAGTAGTATACTTTACTTAAGCCTTAACTTGGACTTTTATTTAAAATAATGAAATTTTTGCATGCTTAACTTGGAGTTGAAAATAATTTTTTCAAAGTGTCTTGATTTACATATTTTCAAAATATATATACATATAAAAAAAAATTGCAAAAGAAGAGTGCGAAAAATGGGCACCAAAAGAAAAAAAAACTCTTGAATTCAAGGTGATTCTATCTTATAAAGCCTAAGCTGACCGAGTAATTAAGCCCAAGGAGTATTTTCATACTTAATGACCTAAGCCCATTTGGGTTGGGATCCATTGGCCCAAAACTCGTTAAATGGTCACTTAGAAAGCCCGTTAAAGTAGAAAAAAATCACCAAGGAAGAAAGAGTTAAAAAAAATTTAAAAAAAACTAATAAATGTTTTATAGTTGTATATATGGTCTTAGAAAATATTTTAAATCAAGCAACTTGAAAATTATTTAAAACAAAGAGTTATCATGTTCTTTTCAAAACTTTTAAATTAAATTTCTAAGTTTGGCTTGGTTTCGTATTGCTACAATGAGAA